GATTTATGTAGATGATGTATTGTATGCCTGCAAAACAGATAAACAAACTAAAAGGTTTGCCAAGCAATTGTCCAGTAAGTTCAAAGTGAAAGACTTAGGCCCGGTTAGGACATACCGGTATCTAGGGTTTGAAGTGTGCTGGGCCCTAGATGGCAGCTGTCTAATTAGTCAGCAGAACAAAATTAAACAACTACTGACTACATACAGAATGCAGGATTGCAAAGGGGCAGTGGTGCCTATGGATCCAGGTTTCATAAAAACACTTCATATAGATGAGGGTCCTGAATTTGAACATCCTGATGTATATCACTCTGTAATTGGAAGTTTATTGTATCTAGCACAGTGGTCCAGACCTGATATTAGCTATGCAGTAGGCATATTAAGTAGATTGGTCTCAAAACCCACACTAAATGCCTGGAAAGGGGTAAAACAAGTTCTGAGGTATCTCAAACAGACAATTGGCTATATGTTACAATTAAATTCTTCAGAGGATGAAATGTTGAGTTGCTACTGTGATAGTGACTGGGGAAATTTGCCGGATAGAAAATCTGTCACAGGACTAGTCATAATGGTCGGTGGAGCTTTAATCAGCTGGCGGTCACGCAAGCAAGACGTTGTAAGTGTGTCATCAACGGAATCAGAGTACGCCGCATTGAGTGAATTGTGCAACGAGGTGATTTATTTCAAGCATTTGTTAGCAGATTTAAATGTAAATTGTGGAGAACCAGTTCAAGTTTACATTGATAATCAAGCTTGTATAACCTTAAGTAAAACAGAGGGTTTCAAATCGCGTTCTAAACATATCTGTAAAATACCAAAATGTACGTTGCTGTGTACAAGACAATGTAATCACCTGTACTTATGTATCAAGTGAAGAAAATGTAGCAGATGTATTAACTAAACCATTGGCAAAGGTAAAGAACAAGCGAATGTGCAAAGGTTTAGGTTTGCTGGAAAAATGATCTCCTACATAGGTGTATTTGATGTTAATTGTTCAGCAGAATCTGTGAGGGGGTGTTCAGTTTCTGTTAATTGATTCTCATGGAAAACTTGCAGATTCTGGCTTCACACAATTAACTCAAGGCAGTGTCAATTTACTCTTGGCAGAAAGCCCAGGTCTGCTTGACCTAGAAACTACTCACTCTGATTGGTTAACGACCAGCACTCAACTCTGTTATCTAGGGATTGCTAGCACAGTTTGGTGTGAGGTGTGTTAGGAGTAGAAGTGCTGTGTATGGTTTTGAGAGAGAGAGAAAGGATTTATTTTGCTTTTACTTGTATGCAGAAACTCTGCTGGTTTTATTTTCTCCTTTTTAATAAATCCTGTAAATAGTTATTCTGAGTCTAGCTGACTAGTCATTACCGCCGCAACTAGCTTCTTCGCTGTGTAGGAAAACTCTGCTACGTTTGGGCGAAAGCCAATAGGGCTATGCCTGACACTTCAAAGTTCCATGGATAAAAGTTCTGCTAATATGGTGTGGTTGGTACAATATGATCTTCTATAATCCTCTTTTTAAAAAAAATATGATATTTATTGAGAATTTAGAATTACAAAGAAAAAAAGGAAAAGGAAAAAAGACAAAAAAATTTAAACTATACAAGTCAATAAAAAGAGAAGAAGAAAAAAGAAAGAAAAAACAAAACACACAATACATCAAAACCAAAAACGAAAGCAAACACAAAATTTAAAAACAAATCCAATATTCCCAAATCTTTAACTTGTTTCATCGACCTCCTCACACCTCTTTTTTTTATTCTAGTTATTAATTATCTCAGCAAATCCTTTCCATCTTTCACTATATTCTGTCATTAAATTACCTTAATTTATTTTAACCTTATCTTACCAAAAAAAGCCCTAAAGCTTAAAACTTATTTGTACATAATTTGTACACAATTCCTTATAGCATTTCTACTAAAGCCAAATAGTTTCATTCCAACATTTTTTCTAACACTCATTATGATCTTCTATAATCCTCAAATATTCTCCCTTCTCCAAATATTTTCTGGTTCAATACTCCTCTAACTCTTCCCATCGGTTTTGCTAGTTGTAAATATTCTAACATGAGTATATGGCTTCTCTTGGTGATGTCCACAAGGGTATTTTTGGCTCAAGTATTCCTTTATATTTATTCCAGATTTTATTTCACATGGCTCAAAAATCCCCTATGGACCTTCACTTTTTCATACATTAAAGAAGCGTGCCATCCAGACCGATTCTCTTGGCCTTCCAAGTTTAATAGGTCCGTATCTTTTAGTGTAATCCAGTCTTTTATCCAAACCAATCCTGCCGCCGCATGGTAGAATTCCAAATCTGGCAATGCAAAACCTCCTCTCTCCTTTTGATCTGTTAATAACTGGTGTTTAATTCTCGGTTTCTTTCCACTCCATATAAATCTAGATATTTCCCTTTTCCACTCCTTAAAACAATTCATTCCTCCTAAAATGGGCATTGTTTGGAATAAGAAAATCATTCTGGGGAGGATATTCATTTTCACAACCGAGACTCTTCCCCAGAGTGAGAGTTGGAGTTTGGCTCAGGTTTCCATATTTTTAAAAAAAAATTCTTTCCATACTTACTATAATTATCCTCATATAAATTTAAACTTTTATTTGAAATGCAGATTCCTAAGTATTTAACCTTATTTTTAATTTCCAGGCCTGTTTTGTCTTGAAGTTCTTTTTTTTTCTTCCATTGTGAGGCTTTTTGTCAGTAATTTAGTTTTTTGGTAGTTTATTTTCAGCGCCAGGCCAGCCATAAATTAACCTAGCAAAAGACCCTGGGATGGCCAGGAGCAGCGCATGCGGACGTGAGTCTAGGAATGGAGAAGATTGTGGGTGGGATTCTCTGAAACACCCACAACCCAGATTCTCATCCTTGGCTGTCTCTTTTGCTGACGGTCTTCACTCCCAGCCTTCCTGGCAAGAGGTAGCTAGGAGGGGGAGGGGAGAACAGGAGAATTGGGGTTCTGCAATTAGAGAGGCAATGAACTGCAAGGGGAGAATGCCAATCAAAGCTCTCATTCCCTGTCGGGGAACCTGAGATCTGAAACTTTTCCTTTTCCCCAAGGAAGACGCCCCAAGGCTGGTCCAAGTGGCCAGTTTGGATAGCAAGGGACTTGGGCTCGGTTTCCAATTTCTCTTTTTCTCGTAAATGCAGCTGCACCGGCAGCACCAAGAACGGGGAGGAAGTGACTGGTGCGCGTCAGAGCGCAAGGGCGTTTCCAGCTCCTTTCCATTCTCTCTGGAGCAGCCGGATTTGGCACTGGGCTGCCAGACGTCCAATGGAAAGGGACTCTTTTCCCTAGAGGCAGAAAAGGTTGCTGGGACCCCATGGTAAGTAAAGGGAGGGAGAAGGACTTTGTAGAGAAGACGAACGACTGTCAGGTCAGGAAAGACCTGGGAAAAGGCTAGCGGGTTTTTGTTTTTGTTTTGGCTTTGGTTGAAAAATGGGATCCCCACATTCTAAGCGTTCTAACCGCCACACTCAGAGGCATGTGCTGGTCGCAGCAGGAGGGGGGTCTCCCTGGATGCTTCAGCAGCCGGCCTCCTCTGGGTCTCCTGGCCCCCTCCTCTCCTCCCTCTGAGCCTGAACTGCTCTCTGCCCCAGACTCTTCCCACGCACCTAACCCTGTTTTCTCCTCAGCTTGCAACACCTCCCTTCCCGTTCTGCTCCCTTCTCTCCTTCTTTCTGCTCATCGCCATCCCACCACCAGTCCCTGGGCTCTGAGCCTTCTTCCCTTGTGGGTCCCCCAGCTTGTGCCTCCCCCCCATCACCAGCCAGTCCATGACAACAGCAGCAGCTACAGCACTGTGGTCCTCTGGTGGGAAAACTCCTGAGTACATGACTGAATCAACAATTCTGGGACTATGGAAAAATACTCTCTTTCCCAAACACTAGAATGAGCAGGAGCTCTGGGGTTGCCCCATGGGGTTCGTGAGGGAAGATGCACCCCCCAGGAGACTTCCCTGGTACCTGCAGCCCCTCCTTCCCCCTCTTGAAATTAGGATGGGGGGGAATCCCCCATTCAATTTCAGTATTTCAAGTTTTCCTCAGAACGTGCAGGAGGCAGCGATGAAGTTCTGGTGAAGAAGCAGTGCTTGGATCATGCGGTGGGGGGGTGACAGGGTGTGGTGCAAAAACTAAAGTTACTTTCATCTAAAATTATTCTCACCATTGTGAGATGCTGCCTTCCTTAAATAAGTTCCTTAAATAAAGGTAAAGTTAAAGGGACCCCTGACCATTAGGTCCAGTCGTGGCCGACTCTGGGGTTGTGGCACTCATCTTGCTTTGTTGGCCGAGGGAGCCAGCGTACAGCTTCCGGGTCGTGTGGCCAGCATGACTAAGCCGCTTCTGGCAAACCAGAGCAGCGCACGGAAACGCCTTTTACCTTCCCCCCAGAGCGGTACCTATTTATCTACTTGCACTTGGACGTGCTTTTGAACTGCTAGGTTGGCAGGAGCAGGGACCAAGCAACGGGAGCTTACCCCATTGCGGGGAGTCAAACCGCCGAACTTCGGATCGGCAAAGTCCTAGGCTCTGTGGTTTAACCCGCAGCGCCACCCGCGTCCCTGTTCCTTAAATACTCCATTATAAAGAAAGCACTTTTTGCAGTCTTTTCATTTAAACTGCTCCTCCTCTCTGAGTTTGTTGATGGTCTGAAGGGTTTCAACTCTTTTAAAGTTCTTCCTGTCCATGAGTCTGTTGATTCTGAACTTCCACTAAGAGTGAACCTCTTTCTACTTTCCTGATATTTATATGGTTTCTCCATTGTGTGAGTTTTTTGACATAAATCAAGGCTTCCACTCTGACTGAAGCTCCTTCTACAGTCCATACCTTTAAATGGTTTCTGCCCCACGTATCTGCTGATGTTTTCTAAGATTTCCACTCTGAGCAAAGCATTTACTGTACTCCATACCTTTAAATGGTTTCTCCCCTGTGAGTCTGTTGATGTTTTCTAAGGCTTCCACTCTGACTGAAGCTCTTTCCACAATCCATACATTTAAAGGGTTTCATCCCTGTGTGAGTCCGTTGATGATTTCTAAGGTCTCCACTCCGACTGAAGCTCTTTCCACACTCTATGCATTCAAATGGTTTCTCCCCTGTGTGAGTCCGTTGATGTCTTCTAAGGCATCCACTATTATTAAAGCTCTTTCCACACTCAATGCATTTAAATGGTTTATCCCCTGTGTGAGTCCGTTGATGTCTTCTAAGGCATCCACTATTATTAAAGCTCTTTCCACACTCAATGCATTTAAAGGGTTTCATCCCTGTGTGAGTCCGTTGATGTTGTCTAAGGTGTGCACTCTGACCGAAGCTCTTTCCACACTCCATACATTGAAATGGTTTCTCCCCTGTGTGAGTCCGTTGATGATTTCTAAGGTCTCCACTCTGACTGAAGCTCTTTCCACACTCTATGCATTCAAATGGTTTCTCCCCTGTGTGAGTCCATTGATGTTGTCTAAGGTGTCTACTCTGACTGAATCTGTTTCCACACTCCATGCATTTAAATGGTTTCTCCCCTGTGTGAGTCCGTTGATGTGTTCTAAGTTTTCCATTATCACTAAAACTCTTTTCACACTCCATACACTGAAACGGTTTCTCCCCTGTGTGAGTCCGTTGATGTTGTCTAAGGTGTCCACTCTGACTGAATCTCTTTCCACACTCGATACATTTATATGGCTTCTCCCCTGTGTGAGTCCATTGATGATTTCTAAGTTGACCATTATCACTAAAGCTCTTTCCGCAATCAATGCATTTATATGGTTTCTCCCCTGTGTGAATCCATTGATGTCTTCTAAGTGTTGCATTATCCCTGAAGCTCTTTCCACAATCAATGCATTTAAATGGTTTCTCCCCTGTGTGAGTCTGTTGATGTCTTCTAAGTATTCCATTATCACTAAAACTCTTTTCACACTCCATACACTGAAATGGTTTCTCCCCTGTGTGAATCCGTTGATGTCTTCTAAGTTTTCCATTATCACTAAAGCTCTTTCCACACTCGATACATTTAAATGGTTTCTCCCCTGTGTGAGTCCGTTGATGCAATTTAAGGTTTCCACTCTGACTGAAGTTCTTCCCACACTCCCTGCACTTAAAACGTTTTCTCTCTGTGTGAGTCCGCTGGTGTGTTCTAAGTTTTGCATTGAAAGAGAAGCTCTTTCTGCACTCCATACCTTTAAATGGGTTCTTTCCTTTTTGTGTTCGTTGATGTGAACTATGTGTGCTCGTTCAGTGAAGCATATTCCACATTTCACACATTTTAATGGCTATTCCTAATGAAACGAAAGGTGCCCTGTCCCCCGCAATTCTGTTTTCTCCATCACCTTTTCCAGAGTGGGCAAAAAGCAAATCCTGTTTGGGTTTCAGGAAAGAGAACACAGAAAAAAAGGACACATCAACTGCCATTAGCACCTTCTCTTATTTCAACATCTCCTATATTCTCCCATGTCCTCCCCATGTTCCCAATTTTTAGGAAATGAAAATGGTAAGGTGCCTATGATGTCTAATGGTAGTAATCATCAGCAAACTTTCATAATCCTCAATCAGCTTTAATAACACAGCATGATCTTGGAATACTGTTGTCCTGTGGGACTGCCTTTCAAATCAAGTGGTTGCCCCCGTTTCTACCTCTAGATCTTCATGAATCACCTTCACATTCCCGCTGACCTCAGGAGGTCCATATGGACTATTTTGGGAGACCCAGATCTACATCTTTTCCAGGGACTGTGGTCTGGGTCAGAACTAGTGACCAAGGCTTGGTGCTTGGGGTCAGCTGAATGGGTGCTCAGGGAAGCTCCTGTTCTTGGAGATGGACCTCTGTCTACATGCCTCACATTGCATGGAGAGAGCAGGAAAAGCAGAAGGAAAGAAAATGGCAAATGGGAAACACTCCATCCCAATGGTTCTTTATAATGATGATGTGCTGCCTGATCCTGTGCTTGTCTTCTGACACAGGACTATCCTAATCTGGCACTGAAAAGCAGGATGTTCAAGGCAAGGAGATAACTGTTGTCAGGGGCTCAGGAGCAGAGGCACAGGAAAGGGAGGAAATAGAGAGCGAGGGGGAGGAATCCGAAGGAAATGTTAGCGATGACAGCGGTCTGAGGTCTCTGAGTCTTTCCAGCGAATCGGAAGATTCACAGAAAGGGGCTCCCATGGTCAGAGCAAGGGGGTGCCTAGGGGGACACCCCAGGAAGAAGGGGCCAGAGGGGACTCAGAGAGCAGCAGTTGGAAATCAGGACCAGCTTCCCCACCAGAGCGCAGTAGGGGGGAGGAGTCCCAGGTATCGGGATCAGGAAGCTCACCACCAGCGGGAGGAGAGGAGTCAGGATTGGCCACGCCTCCATCGGAGAGCGAGGAAACGGTCAAGAGGAAGGTTGGAGGCTGGGCGCGCGTGCCAAGTTCAAATGTACAGGAGGGCGGCGCAGTTGGCAGCCCGGATAGGGAGCCAGGTCCCAAAGCCCGCCGAAAGGAGGGGGAGGAGTCAGGGGGGTCAGCGTCAGCGTCAGAAGAGTCCAGAAAGGAGGAGACCCCGGGGGGCAGAAGGACCCAGAGGAGAAAGGAGAGACGTAAGAGGTGGAGTAAGGTTAGAGTCTTAAGCTGGTGTACAGGGGGTGGAGACTCAGATGGAGCTTCGCCGGTCTAGCCTCTAAGACGTAGAGCTGGGGCGCTGCGGCTTGAAAATTGAAACTGTACTTCAATAAAGACTTTTGTACATTACTACCGGCTAGCGTTGGTCCTCTGTGAGCTGGGACCAGGGGTCAGCTCTGACAGTAAGCTCCATCTCTCTATTTTGCACCAAAAACCTCGCAACGTGAGTGGACGCAGCGAGGGGAGAAGATTGGTGCTTCGCGAGCTCACAAGAGTCAGGCGAGATGACTACCGAACAGCAAATAGCAGCCCTACAAAATGCAGTGACACAACTCAACGCGGAGATAATCGCATCCAGGAAGAGAGAAGAAGAAGCGGCTGCCGCCTGCAGGGATCTCCAAGCCAGGTTGGAAGTGCTTACTAAGCAGGGGCAACCGGGACCCAAATCAGAGGGGATTGGGCTGGGGAAAAAAGGAGGCAGCCTTGTATCTCGTTTCGATGGGAATTTACAGCAGTACCCCAATTTCCGAGCAGACGTGCTGTTTGCGCTGCAACTGCTGGATAAAGACTTTAGAGATGAGCAAGAGAAGGTGGGGTTTATCTTATCCCATTTGCATGGAGAAGCTAAAGCGGGGCTGCGCAATCTGTGGAGAGATAAGGATCCAGCGCTCCGAAGTGCGGATGCATTCATTAAAGCGATGGATTCCTGCTTTTTATCAAATATAGACATTGATATCGCCAGAAAAGACATACATGGGTTGAAACAAGGGAG